CTGAACACATCCCCATGCCCCTGGATCCAGCCATGCCTGAAGCTGACACTCCTTAGGACCCCAAGAATAACTGGGGCCATAACGTCCCTTTCTTCACCGACTACAAGCTGGTTGTCTGTCACTTAAACAGAATGAGTTTTAAACAAGGAGCATAAGACACCGCAGAGGAGACTGAAACCACCCTGGGCAGCTGTGCAGGTCGCCAAGCGCAGAGACCAAGCAGGCGCTTCTGCTCCTCTGGCCTAAGGAGCCCTGACACCCACAGCCCCTCTTTGGTGTCCCTGAGACCCTCTCACTGCCCCCACACAGTGCTAAGGCAGAGTAGGAGAGGGAAGACCCCACAAGGAGCAGCTGCAAGTCCCAGGCGCCCGCACCCCCCGCCCCACAGCTGGAGCCTGCCTGGGCCCACTCAGCACCTGGGCCGGCTGGAGCCTGCTGTGTGCCTCGAAGGCAGCAGCCTTGTTAGGGAAAATGAAACTCCTCTGGTTCCCTCAGGCCAGTGAATGACGTCTCTCTGCAGCCTTGGGTGACTCTTACTGTCCAGCAAGGCTGAACAGACCAGTGCCTGGCCAGGCTGGCAGCCCAGCAGGGGGGCCCCAGCCCACAGGGCGGCAGCCTCTCTGGGTCTCAGCCACACAATGGGGGGGCTCCATCACGGAGTCACGGGGTGTGCACCCCCTCAGGCTCCAGGACGGGAAATGGCTGCCGAGGCTGACCCCACCCGCTGCCCAACCACAGGCCCTGCCCGGCCAGAGACACCAGGCTGGGACGGTCACCGGAGCTGTACCGAGTGGGACAGAGCGGGGACAGGGGGCTTCCCTCCCCACTGCCATCGCCCAGCCACGGGGGCTCAGGCTGCCTGCAAAGAGCCCCGAGCAGGTCAGCGGCTTGTCAACAGGCCACTTGGGCACCAGGCCTGTCCCAGCTCCCGCTCACTCACACTGACAACGGTCAACACCCGTAACTCAGAAGGCGTCCGGGAGTCAAAGAGGAAAGGTAGAACTGTTTCAAATAAATGCGTCTCTTCATTTTTATACTTCTTATTGGCGTGCAAAAGAGGCAATAAAATGTAGTGAGCACAGTCTTGGGAGTTGGACAGACATGTGTTCAAATACTGGCTGCGAAGCTTGAAGCAAGCTGTCTTGGCTTTGCAGCCTCAGCTTATTTATCTGTCAAATGGGGATAAGATGAGCTCAGCCACAGGCTGCTGTGAAGGCTGAACAAGGCAAAGCGGCGCAAGGTGCTCAGAGGGGGCATGGCGCGGGGGGGCCCGGGGCCTGTCAGGCACTGCTATTGCTTTTTATGCCAACAGCCTCCTTCCTGGGAGTCTAAGGATGGCGTGAGTGCAGCGCGCCTGTCCTGTGGCCCGAGAAGGATCGAAGAGTCTTCCACAGCAACACAACGTACAAGAACCCTTTGCTGAGCAGTACGTCCTTGTGCATCATGAAACAGCAAGCTTTAACCACTCCCTGTAAATATTACAAAAACCTGTCAAGTGGCTGTGAAACACCTGGGCGTTTCTCAGCGTCTCCATTTCTCAGCGTCTCTGGGGAAAAAAACGGCACGGAGTCTCAGGAAGCCACCTTCCCCTGGCATTTCTTGAGTCTCCATCCTACCCGATTCCAACAGAACTCGAACATTGGCGGGCCCAGGGTCCTGCCCTCACACCATTGCGGGGGTGGCAGCATCCTTTACACGCTCTGCCAATGGGTTCTGCAAACCCTGTGTCCTGATGCTCACAGGAGCAGAGGACCCCAGCCTGGCTAGCGTGACATAAGGACCCAGCTGGAATAGTCAGGAAAAGGTCTGAGCCTGGCACTGCTGCGAACCCTTGACTCGCCACAGAACAAGTCCGCCCGACAACAGAGCCAGCCAGCCCACAGGAAGGCGGACGCACAAGACAGCAAGCGTCCTCATGACCCGCAGGAGCGCCTGGATCCAGCCATGCCTGAACACTTACTGTTATGTGAGCTGATAACTTCCCACTTCTGTTTAAACTAATTTTACTGGAGTTTCCTGTCACTTGTAACTGAGAGGATCCTGACCAATACAGTGATACAAGAATCCCTTTGTACCACACAGTGGGAGACTGCTGTCGTGGTAAACAAAGCTGCTTACTACTGCCTTCCTTTAAATAAGAGAAATAAACTCAGGGGCCCAGGCAAATAGATGAACACAGCTATGTCCCAATCCAAGGGCAGGACAACAGGCCTGGAAGGTTCTGTGGCTCTTGGTAGAGGCTGGTCTCACCCAAGTACCTAAGCTTAAGCTCAGACCACAGCAGCCTGCCAAACTGAGCCCTGCTCCACGGCTCCCCCTACGGCGTCCAGGAAAGCTAGTTCGCTGGATTCACAGGGTTCGAGAGGTTCCTTTATTACAGAACCTCTAAGAGAGCCCACAGACTCCCTGAATCACCCAGGCTAAACACAGGACACAGCATTTCCTACACCTGTGGCCCACTGAACCCTACGTGTTCAGAGCAACTTGACATGCAAGCCCCCAGGACTCTCGTGCAGAAATGGGGCCGCAGAACCCTGCTTCTCAGAGCGCGGTCTGAGGCCAGGCGCGATAGCGTGGGGGCTCCTGAGAAGCTCAGAACCCAGGTGGGGTGTGGTGGGCGGCGGCAGGGGGCGCCAAGGTGCAGAGTCAGAATCCACACTTTAACAAGACCCCTGGGGATCCGCACCACACCTGCTTGGGCGTCTTTCGCTACCTGTGAAGGAAGAGCAGGAGCTGCACAGGAAGGGGCTGGGTGGCGTGTTGGTGCAGGGGGCTGGGCCGCTGGCAGGGTGCTGCGCACTTAGCCGTGGGAGGCCTCCTGAGGGGCGCGCACAGGAAGTACAGCTCCTGCGATCATGTCTTGGTGCCTTTCACCCGCCAGATTTGTGCGCGCCGTGAAGAAGGGGTGGGAGGGAACCAGGCCAGGCTCCTGCCAACAGGCGCTGGGCCTCAGCCGCCCAGTTGTAAACATGAGGACCCCTCCCCTGCAAGGTCAGAGCCCTTAGCACATGGGCGCTGATGCACAGAGGGGCTTTAAGGGTTAAGAAGTTAATTGGTACAAAATCAGAGCAGATTCAGACAAGAAGAAGAAATAAAGAGAATTCCTGATGCCACCCCACTGTCCCTAGGCCACCTCCCATTGACCGCATGCAAGGCTGTCCGGGGAGGCTCAGCCCCTCGTCCAACCCTGGCCTTCCTTCCAGCCCTGCTGGTGTGTGTCCAGCACGTCTGACAGCTCTCCACGCCTCGCTGACCGGCCGAGGCACACCTGACACCGCTCCCCTCTGCTAGGACCACCAACCTGCGTGGCCGCCGGCTGGCTGGCACGGCGCTCGGCAGGTGGCTCCCAGCTGCCCTGAGCGGACACGCCGCGGCGGCGCCAGGCCAGCCCCGCCTCTGAGCAGCACAGTGGACGAAACGCACGAGAGGGGCTGGTTGGACAAATGCGTCACGGAATGAGCTGAATGAATGGCACGGTGACAAAGTCTCCCTGAAATGCTCTCCATTGGGAATTAACAAGCACACGGGAGCTGGCCCACCAACAGACAGCATGCTGTCCCCTCCTCCTAGCCCACCCCCCCAACCCCACCCCAAAGTCCTCAGCACCCCTTTCCTTTAGGTAATTCACCTCCAGAGTAAAGAGACACACCTGTGAGGCCTGGGACACCCTCAGGGGCAACGGGCACAGGGGGCTGCAGCCCCTACCCCAACGCCCCCAAGGGCACTGACAGCTGTTTGCAATTCGCCCAGGTCCTAAGCACATCCAGCCAAAGGCAGTGATTTTCCGAAGCAACAAGTGACATTTCCTGTGTCTCCATAAAAAGAATGCCAGCGGTTGCGGGCCTCTGGAGTAATTGCTGGCCCTGCAGCCAGCAGGACGAGCCTGAGGGCAGGGGCTCAGAGGCGGCGGCGGCAACGCCAGTCACTCCCTGGGAACAGGAGCCTTCCGGGCAGCAACTGGAGCGGAACCCTCGGTGGGCGGCCGACCCGTCTGGCCAGCACAGCCGGCCTGACCACCGCACACCAGCTCCAAAATAGAACACTGCAGTGGCTCCTGCCCTGTGCCAGGCCCCGGGCGGCCGGACAGAGCACCGCCAATGTCAGCCGCCTCCCCGAGCATCGACTCGGCTTCCTCCGAGGCCCTTGTGACAAGGGTCCCTCGGGGCCCCCAGAGTAGGTGGACTTCCCAGGGCTCCAGTCACACTGGGTGGGCCAGGCAGTCTGTGGAGCGCACCCCTCCCCCCCAGCCTCTCTCCCGCCCTTCAGGGGCTGCCCACAGGCCCCAGGGCCTGCACTTTCAAATGTTCCCATTGGCTCAAAATAGAGAGAGGAAACCGACTTTTCAAATAACCAGCTGAAGTTCAACAGGAAACCACAGCATAAAAATCAGCAGCTCCCGGTCAGCCGGGGTAGCGGCATAACTGGGCACCTCAGCACCACGGCCCACCCCCCGGGGCCGGCACCCACAGGAACGAGGAGGCTGACTGCCAGCACACGTGCCCCCTGCACACCCCACCCATAGTAAGATACACAGGGCCACACACTCGGCTGCACACGAGTGAGCAGCAACCTACAGGTACACACGTGCGCAAAACATGTAAGGCACGTCCCCGCATTTCCACAGATGCACGGGCACTCAGACATTAGTCAGGACACAGCGACATTCCAAACACCCGCACACACACTCACAGAGGTGCACACACGCCTGAGGCCTGGATGCCAGGCCAGGACCTGCCCCGGCAAGCCCAACAGAGACCCTTGATCAGTTCTTGGGAGACCCTGGGCCTCTCCCACCTAAATCACCCCCTCCTGCCAATCAGAACGCCTTGCGGTCCAGCCAGTGCCTGCAGTCCAGCCACCCTCCTCCGTTGGTGCCCCGCATCCTTAAGCAAGAAGGTCCTCAGTGGGGCCTTTGCCCTCCCAGGGAACACCGAGGTAACAGGCTTCCAAAGCCCAGGCAAGGGCCTTGGACAGAAAGAGAGGGAGAAGCTCCCACTCACCAGCCCGTCGCAGTTGCTGAGCGCCACGGAGGAGGCTTCAGTGAGACCAGCCACGTCTCCAGTGTAGAGGCAGGTCCCAAGCAGAGGCTCCACGCGGGTGGCGCCGGACTCACCCTGCCACTCCACCGTGGCCCCGGGTGCCACGAGGCGGGCATTGGGCTGCAGCCGCAGGTGCAGGTCTCGGCCGAAGACCGTGACATTGTAGAAAAGTCGGCTGTCAGGGTCCTCTCTGCTTCCAGGGAAGCCCGGGGTCTGGACGGGGGCAGCCCTGCGGGCCCGAACCCCGGCCTGGGCAGTCGTCACCGACACCACGTGAGACACCAAGCGGCCCTGGGCGTCAGTGCGCACCGGCACCGCCAGGATGCGCTCCGCTCCGTGCCCCAGGGGCCCGCCTGCAACGGAAAGGGGCATCAGAGCGGCTGAGACCTGGAGCTCCCAGCCCCTCGCTGCGCCCCGCAACCCCAGCCCCACCCCCACTGAGAAAGGAGGGGCATTCCTCCAGGCAACTCCCAGAAACTAGCCTGCACCTCCTCGGCATTCCGCCACCGGGGAAGGGGCGTTAACATAGGCACCTCTCCGGAGCCCCGCCGCCCCAGGCGGTCCCGCTCTGGGACCCTGGAAACCCAGAGTTCTGCTCCTTGCCCCGTTCTGGGTTGAGGCTCCGCGGGCTCCTCACAGTTCCCCAGGGGACGTCTTATCTGAACGCGCCCCCCCCCCCCCGCCCATCCCCGGCTCGGGAACCTACCGTCCTTGGCAGGACGTGGGGCCACTCCGAAGCCATGCCCGGTTGACACCCAACCCGTGCGCCTCTACCCTTCTAGTGGCCGCTGGGGCGGGGAGGACTCGGCTTTTCTGGACACAGGCGGCCTGTCCTCCGCGTCCAGCTCCCGCTGATCCCGCTGCTGGTCCCCTGTCCCCGGAGGGGTGGAGCAGGGTCCCTCGGATCTTCAGAGATCCCCTTTGGGACGCCCAAACCAATCCGCAGGGCCCCAGGCGGCGCGCTCGGCACTCGGCTCCTCCCGAGCATCCCCGGACGCCAACCCAGGCGCCTCCTGGCCCTGGCTCCCCTGGACCCGCTGGCGCTGGCTCTGCGAGCTTCGCCGCGGGGCTTTCCCGGCCCGGCACCTCCACGCTCGGCGCCCGGAGAGCCGCGAGGGCTGCGAAGCTCTCCATGGCCCGAGGCGCCCGGGGGCGCCGCGGGGGCGCCCCCCGCGCGACCAACCCGGCCCGAAGTTGGCCAACTTGGCCCGGGGCGGGGCGCTCGGAGTTTGCCCAAGTCCGGCTGGAAGCTGCCTGGGGAGGGGGCGGCGAGGCGCGCGGGGCGGGGCCCGCCCGTGGGGGTCGCGAGGGTGGGGGCGTGCCGCACCTACCTTGGGGGGCGGCGGCTGCGAGCCGGGCGTCCGCGGGCGGCGGCAGCAGGAGCAGCGGCAGCAGCAGCGGCAGCAGCGCGAGGCAGAGCAGGCGGCGGTCGGCGCCCGCCGGCGGATCCATGGCAGCCGGACCGCAGCCCGGGCCCCGCACTCGCAGCCGGCGCGAAACTTCCCCGCGCGCCGCCCAGCCCACATCTGGGGGCAGCTGGAGCCGCTTGCAGCTGCCGCACCGCAGGGCGCGGGGCGGAGGAGGCGAGGCGCGGAGCGGAGGGCGGGGAGCGCGGAGGGGAGGCGGGGAGAGGGAAGGAGCGAGCGAGGAGGCGGGCGGGCGGGCGCAGGCGAGCGCGGGGAGGGCGGGGACGGCGGGCGCCTCAGCCTGCGGTGACCCGGCGCTTCTTGGCGCGGCGGCCGCCGCCGCCCCCCATCCCCCCAGCTCACCTTCTAGCCGCCCCCTCCGCCCCCCCTCGCTCGCTGCGAAGCAGAGACACCCCGAGGCGGCGGCTGAGGAGCGCCGCGAGCCGTGCCTGGGGAGTCCCGCCGCTGGCCGCTCTGGGCTTGCCCTGCGCCCTCGTGGCACACAACCTGGGAGGAGCGCAGCCGACCGCTGGGTCATCCTGACAGTCCTCTTCGGGACCCTGGGTCTCACCGGTTAGCCGTGGGGCGCAGGGACTTCCCGGCCCTGTCTTTGCGCGCTGGGGCAGGACAGGGCCCAGGGATGGGTGGGGGTAACGGAGGCCTGGGATGGAGACCCCGGAGGCCAGAAGACGCTTTTCTAGGAGGTGCACTCACTGCAACTGTCCCTCGGCCTCCAGCCTCTCGCCACCTGAGGTCCTTGTCCCCTCCATGACTACCCCCCCCCTCCGCCCTCACCCACTGTGGCAGCCGGGGAGCACAGCCACCCCCTCCCGCCCCCGCCCTGCGCCCAGACTGGCCCTCCCTCCCAGAGCACAGGCAGGTTGCGGCCCTCACCTGTCCTCAGTCCCACGTGGACATCTGGCCTCCCGGACTTGGCTCTTCCCCAGGCCCTGCCTGAAATAGCCTCTCTACTCTCCACCCCCCTCTTCCCACTCAGAATCCCAGGCAGAGCTCTCCATCCTGGAGCAAGTTTGCTGTCAGAGCCCATCCCCAACTGGAGCCCCTCTTCCTCTGCAAGGTCTTAAGCCCGGAGTCACTGTCCTACCAGGCCTGCTGTCCCCAACACAGTGACCCTTCTCCCCAGGTCCTGCCTGAAACCCCCTCCCACGCACGTGTCTGTTGCAACATCTCTGCCATGTGATCCCAGGCTTCTGCCCCACTTCCCCAGAGGGCGGACACCTTCCCTGTGGAGCTTCTCATTCACGCTGCCCCCTGCCTGGGTGCCCAGGCCTCTGGGGTTGGCTTTGGTCCGGCACAGCCAGGTGACTCAGGCCCCTCCTTGGCGGTCAGGAGAACCGGGTCTTTCAGGGAAATACGTGACTTCCACAGCCCGCTCTAGCTGCGACTTTGTCTCCTGGGTCCCCTCATTTTCAGGACCTGGGCTTGAGGACGCTGCAGCGTGCTGGCCCTCTCCACGCCTCCCTCCCTGTCACTGGGGCTGCCTAGGCAGGGCCTAGTCCCCAGACGTGGGGGACGTTCGCTGTGCTCGTTAACAATGGTGGAATTTCACGTAAGACTTTAGATTTCTGACTTGAGAAATTCGTGGCCACACTGACCCCCATTTCTGCTATTAACCCTTAAATGGGGCGCATGCCCTGCAGCTTACTGTAGGGCCCCTTCCCTCACCCCAAGGGGCATCCACTTCTGTGACCTCTGATATCACAGCTGGTTCCAAGAAAGGTGGATGGTGAGCAGTGCACGGGAAGACAGATGACTCCACAGATAGCCATTCTGGAGGACTTCCCGTCAGAAGCGTCAGGAGTTGAATCCTGAAGGCTGAGGGAATCGGGCTGCCCAGAGTCGGGTCTGGCAATGTCTTGGAACCCATGGCATCCTTTCGCTCCTTCCCCTTGTGGTTGTCGTGCTTTCATCCTCCTCAGAAGATGAGGGGCACCAGCCAGCAGACGCGCGGACTTCACAGGCCATGCTCGGCAGCCTCACCCCGTCCCCGGCCAGGCTCACGGCCATTGCCTCGGTCCCCTTCCCACCACTGCTGTGAGTTCTTTACGTGGTACCTCACAGTAAAGTTTTTAAAGGATACTTTAAATCATCACCATAAATGGAAAACCACTCTCTCTCCATAAATCAAATGTACCTGCCAAAAATAAATGAAAACAAAAAAAAATTTATCAAATTCTAGATACTACTCTCTGCAAAAGGTGCTGAGGCAGAAGCTGACGAGCAAGTGTTGGACAAGCGGTGGGGCCTTTGCTCGGATGCCACGAGGGGCAGCAGAGAAGTGAGAGGCAGTGACACTCACTTTGCAAGACATGATTTGTTCTGATGGGTCCACGCACTGAATTCTCTACATGCATGGAATACCAGTCTAGGACATTTTTGGGGACGAGGCTTTGTCTCCCTGACATACCTGGATTGCCCCAGCACCTGTTCCTGCCCATATCACAGCCACCTGGGGCTCCGCCGAGACAGAGACTCCCTCATGAGTGGGAGGCAGGCCAGTGACCTTGACCAGCCCATCTTTCAGTCCCCACAACAACACCCTGTGAGGCAGAGTAGATGAATCGGGCACATGCTTACCAAAGTTTACAGTTGGATCCTCCTCCTGGGGGGTCCCTATGGGCTTTTTTCTCCCAGCTTTGTGAACACCTGAGTAACTCAGTGGGTTGGGCATCCTTGTGCACACCAGAACGTCGCTGGTTCAATTCCCAGTCAGGACACATGCCTGGGATGTAGACCAGGTCCCCAGCAGGGGGCGTGTGAGAGGCAACTGACTGATACTACTCTTGCACATTGATGTTTCTGTCCCTCTCTTTCTCCCTCCCTACCTCTTCACACCTCCATGGCTCTGATCTCTCCTCTTCCCCCTCTAGAAAATGCTGCACCGCCCACTGGTGGTTGCCTCTTCTTCTGGTCCCCTTTTCCTCCTCCATGTGAAATGCGGGCACAGAAATCCCCAGTGGTTCTTTGCTCATCTACGTATTCTTTCTAGACCCCAAAGACAAACCAAAGACTGCAGGCCAACTCAGCTCCAACAGTTGTTCCGTGCGTGTTGTGTGTCTGTTTTGAGTTAAACTTGAATGTCTTCAGGTTTGGTTTGCACTCCCTCCTGCTGACACAGTCCCCACCACTCCCTCCCTAATGTCCTTCCTTGCCTTTTGTTCAGGGTTGTTACCAGGCCGGCCCCTGAAGGCTGGGTCGCAGCCCTCATCTAGAACAGCTGCATGTCCTGGTGGTGGAGGGGCGAGGGCAATTCGGGGTGAGCTTGGGCACTCCGCCCCTTTAAAAACTTCCCGAGGACGTCAGGTGCAGAAAGAGATGGGGACTTTCATGGTCCCCTTGGGTGTCATAAATTACCATACATCCTTAAGAGCAGGGACATTTATAAAAACAAAACAAAACAGTGTCTTCCTCTGGGCCCTCCCCAGCTCTGGACAGGAACGGTGCCTTATTCTAAAGGGAGGGGCATGGCTCTCTGTCCCCCTCTGGCTTCCCGGCCACATGTGCCAGCACAGACTTCATCAGAGCCATTCCCGCCCCTGGTGGCCACACAAACACCAGCAGTCCCTCTGCCCTTTGACGAGGTCACAGTCTTGGGCAGGCCCCGCCCTCACTGCAGGCTACCCGCAGGCTGAGGCACGGAGGGCTTGCTGTGCTGCCTGCAGACAAGCAAGCTCCGAGCAGCTGGGAGACGGGCCTAGCCTCTTCCAGTCCCTGGGGACCTGGATTCAGAGCTGTAAGAAGCTGTAAGGTCTTAGTGACCTTGTCAAGGGACCGCTGAAGACAGCAGCTCCGTCCTCCCCCGCCATTGGCAAACAGCAGGAGCAGCAGCCTCATCGGACGCCCTGACAGTCCTGGCCGGGAGCGGCTTTGGCGAGCAGTGCGTCAGGGGGACACTGATCGAACGGAATGTGGCCGCCGGACGGCTTCTGGGGAGTGGTTCTTGCTGTTTCTTGAGCCTCCCTCCACACACACCGCGTACACATGCATACACACACACCCTGTCAGGGAGCTGTGTCAGGCAAAACAGGAAAAAAGTGGGTGGTTTCCAGGCGGCAGTTTTTTCATTGCCACGTTTCACCCAGAGCTGCCCGACTGCCGCAGGGACCGGTCCCGTGGGGAGTGGAAGACCACGGGTGGAGGCGAGGGCTCCAGGCTCAGTGAGCCCTCCTGCAGGGAGATGCGCTGTGGGGTCCACGCAGCATGAGCAGTAACGACCTGGGGAGGGATGAAAGCTCTGTGCCCGCTTGTAAGCGACGGCCCACCCGCAGGTGTGCGCAACCTCGCGGGGGGGCAGAGGACAGCGGATTTTCAAGGTGATGCCGGAGCATGGCAGGAGGGGAAGACTGAGCCCACTTGTATCCGGTCTAGGCCCCTGAGCCAACTTGCGCCTGACCCCTCACCGCGGCGAGGAGGGCCATTCGGTCCACCGCCCCATTGGGGAAAGGCCCCTGGGCCTCTTAAGAGAACCCTGCTGCAAGGAGCATGGCCCGCGTCAGCCGCGAGAAGATGCGCGACCTCCCGGACTAGGTCTGCCGGTGTGGCAGCTCCAGAGCTCAATCTGCCACTGGGCCTGTGCCCAGCCAGGTAGGATGGCCAAGCCACATGCAGGCTTCTGCCCCTCCCAGAGGGCAGGCTGGCCCCCTCTGGGGTGTGGGCCAAGGCTGGGCCAGGAGCACAGCCGGCCACCGCCAACAGGGGCGGGGCTGGTACTGGGCAAGCCTGGGTTACCTGTCCGGGGCTGGCCGCGTGTCGGGGCAGAGCCCCAGGGCCCCCAGCGCCTCACTGGCCTTTATTTCCAAGTGAGGGCAGGGCCAGCCCAGGCTACGCCTGCCTGGTTCCTCGGGTGATCCCACGCTTCCCTCCTGGTCCCGGACGACATCATCTGTAGAGCATGAAGAGTTCATTCCTTTACCTCTAAACCCTGCTCACTGCCAGTGAAGGGCACAGTCCTGCTACACAGTGGGGCCATGGGAACCTCGGTGGCTGTTTCCTCACCTGCAGTCCAGGAGCCCCAACGGCGGCCCTGGCCAGCGCCTGGTTAGAGCCCGGGACCCCTGGCCTCCAGGGCCTAATTCTCTTCAGGTCGCACCCCTTCCTGCGAGGTTCTGCCCCTCCAGGCCTGCTGTCAGCCAGTGGTCATTGGCACCAGTCCAAGGCCAACAGGCATCCCCAGTTTGGAGTGTGGGGAAGAAGAAAACTTTATTCAGTGCAGACAGCTCACTTGTCTGTCACACAGCGCGGTGGTAAGGCCAGCGCAGCAGTGAGGCGGCCCTGGCCGGACCCCTTGCTCCACCTGTGCTGCTCTGCTCCAGCCTGTGCTGACCTGCTCCTCCTCCGCTCTGCTCAGGTGAGACACCTTCCATTTTGGCTCAGCCAGGGAGATGCAGTGTCGGGGGGAAGGGAAAGTGCACTCTCAGAACCAGGGGGCGCCTAGTTTACACACAAGGGGGAGACCCCAAAAAACCGGAATTATCTCCTGGAGGGCGGGCCCCTTGCAGTGCAGGCTCCCTGACCAGGTGAGTGTCCTAGGAACCCACCTGTATCAGCATACCAGCTGGCAGTGTTGTAAGAAACTGTGCTTGGCTTCAGTGAATTTTTTTTTGAAGGCTCTTTCAGCACGTTTGCCCATTTCATGATGGGTGATTTACACGCTCACCTGCCCACACCGCGCTGAGAATTCAGCAGTTTTTGACCAAAAATGGCACAACCCCCGTGCCCTACCCTCCCTGTTCACCCAGCCTTACCCTGAGTGACGTTTTTTGTTTGTTTGTTTCCCCAGATAAAAAAAGTCCTCAAAGGGAAACATTTTGCCGATGCGGAAGAGATGAAACAAAAAAAGGCAGAAGCATTAAAAGACATCAAAATGTATGAGTTCAAAAACTATTCTGAGCAGTGGAAAAATCGTCTCAATAGGAGTATTGCAGCAAATGGGGAGTACTTTGAAGGTGACTGAAGTTCAAATATATAACAATAAATACACAATTTTTTATAAGTAAGTTTTTGGGGTTTTGGCGGGGGAGGGGTAGA